CTTTGTGTCCTTTGTCTTCCTCTGTCGTTTGCCTCCTTCCTCTCCATTCCACCTCATGACATCTCCCTTTCCCTCCCCTTTCCAATGACATCCAGAGTCCCAAATTTCCATGGCTGACCTAGATCCACTCGTTGACGCCTATATTGGCACCGACAACAACAGTGAGGCTAAGTTTATCAAGTCCCTGATTAACGATTTAAACAGAGGTGATGATTTTCCTCGTCGCTTGTACACGCATGCAGATGGGCCAAGCTACTGTTCTCCGACCACATTCAAGGCTTTGGGGGAAGTTTTGAAAAACATTGATGAGGCGGAGAAGAAGAACAAGGATGAGGGTGAAGGCGAGTCCCATGGAAAAAAAAGCTTGATTTTGATGTCGTTTCTGTAGATCTGGAGTCCCAAAGTGGGGAGGTCAGTGCTGCGCCCACCCCCAAGCCCCGATCTAAGGCTTCCAGGCCTCCGCCGAAGAAAAGGCAACGTAGGAAGGAGGCGTTGGTGGCGCTGAGCCGTATGCGGGGTTTGCCGGTCACCGACTTCGTGGTGCTGTCCTCTGATGAGGAGGCTGAGCGCTGACCTTGCGTAACGATTTCTAACCCTAATATTCTTAATTTTTTTTTAAATAAATAGTCCTAATTTTTGTTGGGTTGATCTATGTTGGATACTTTGTTTGCTGTTGTGGAAATGTTTGACTGGATCTGGTTGCATGTTGGGTTGTTGGTTATGTTAAATCTGGGGGTTTAATTGTTTGTTGTGTTGATCTATTCTGGATACTAGGGTTTGCTGTTGTGGGAATGTTTGACTGGAACTGGTTGCATGTTGGGTTGTTGGTCATGTTAAATCTGGGGGTTTAATTGTTTGTTCTGTTGATCTACTCTGGATACTAGGGTTTGTTGTTGTGGGAATGTTTGACTGGATGTGGTTGCATGTTGGGTTGTTGGTCATGTTTAATCTGGGGGTTTAATTGTTTGTTCTGTTGATCTATGCTGGATACTAGGGTTTGTTGAGGAAATTTCTGTCACCCTGGATACTAGGGTTTGTTGAGTGTTTTAATTAATGTTGTATCTGTTGCATGTTCTGTTGTTTTGTTGGAATAATGTTGGATGTTTGATGTTGGCTTCTGGTTGATGTTGCCTGTGTGGAGTTCATTGTGTGGTTGTTCCTTGGGATAGACTATGCTGGCTGTGTGGACTTGATTGATGAATGATGAGGCTGGTCTCTTGTGCATGTTCATCGTTGCCTAGTCAGTCCCTTAAAAGGAGTCCCTTGTGATTAGCTTGTGTTTCCTAGTTTGTATTGAGTCCCATAGTTTGATATGCTATTTAGCTTACCTATATCCACATGATGAAGGGACTCCATTGAATTTCACTATGCACAAGTGAATTGCTCCATCAACATGCATAATGCTGTTGTTGTTGAGGTACCCTTGTGCATATGTGTAGTATTCAACAATGACACTATAACCCTCTGATGGATTGAGTGCCCACATAAATTGTCTATCTTTGTCATTCATATTCCATTAAAAATGTGGGTACAAAAGACAATACCTTTGACTAATGAACATAAAACATTACAAAAGACCACATCATAATCTAAAGACTTTACAACAGACTGCCTTACTTGTTTGGATAATTGTAATGAACAAAATACACCTAACCACTTGATTCTTCAACAATTTTTTGAAAAAACAAAACAAGAAACTTACTAGGAGAAGTGGTTATGTGTGGGAGTCCATGTGTTGTCTTGTTCTTGTAATGAGTCCCCTAATCTGCATCCACCTCCAAATCTTCTGTGACTTCTTCAGTGCCCTGATTTGCTGGCCTAAACATAGTGTTTAGGTACTCCACAGCCTCCAACACTACCTCTTTCTGGACCTCTACCAAATCTGGAAGATTGCCAAGGTTTTCCAGCCTTTTTTTGTTCATATGTGGTATTTTGTACTTGTTACCACCTTCTGCCTTGAGTATCTTAATCATACATTTTTGCAATGTAACCCAGATGTACTTGTTAACATGGGGGTTGAATGTGTCATAAGACTGTTTGACCTTTTCAACCAGCTCCTCTAATTCCCTAGGAAAAGATTGATATTGCAAAGATTGTATAGACCTAAAAAGCCCTAAGTCAAGGACATTCAAATCAGGTGACTGTGCTGGCTGAAAAACAAATTGAATGTTAAAGTCATTAGCTGTTGTTGCTGCTAGAAACTCAGCATTTGTAGGAACTTGGTGAGGCCTTGCATTGTCCCATTGGATGACCACATCCTTGGGCAGACCTTCAGGCCATTTTGACATGATTGCTGGAATGACCTTTGTTAGCATCATCTCTCTGATAACTTCTCTGTTTATGTTCTGGAGTGCCTTTGTTTCCATAGTCCCTCTTGCTCTTTTCTTGCTTGATTTTTGTGCTACTTGCTGGACAGTGAATGGGAAGATGCCATACTTCCCATCATGTAACATATCTCCATTTGTGCCATATAATGGCTTCCCTATAATTGCCATGAACATTGCCTTGAGCTTGAATCTTCTTGACTGAACTGCCATGTAAGGATCCTCCTCACTTGACAGTAGATAAAACCTCCTTTTATCAAGGTTCAAGTAGAACCACTTCTCATCACAGTGTATGACATTCCTCATGTCAACAAATGTGGGGTTTTCATTCCCTCTAATTGGATTTATATGTGACAAAATCCATCTTAGTCTGGCAACCTTATGGTCTGTTGTCAGCAATGGTTTGTTGCAGCATGTGTGTGTTCTTAGCCTTCCTCTCTTCTTCAAATTGTGAACTGTACTAAGACTGATCTTCAATGTTCCTGCATAGCTCCTTTCTGTCTGCCTTAAATGTAATGGGACTGACTGGAGGGTTTCATTAGAAATTTGCAATGGCTTTCTCCTTGTTTTGCCATATTTTTTAGTCCTGACATCAATCAAGTCCCCTATTGACAGCTGCCTTTTTATGTCTGTGAAGATTATTGTGATTGTTGATTTGTGAACATTGAATTCAGATGATAATTGCTTCATGTGACCCCTTGGCAAAGTCCCATTGTTCATTTTCACCAAAAGTGCATCAACAATTTTCCTTCTTTGCTACAAAGTTAGTTGCTTTCTGCATACACTATGAGTCCCTTCATCAGCTTGTTGTTGCATTTGTGTGTGTTCAAAATCAATGTCTGTGTGTTGTTGCTGCTGTTGCATTTGTGTGTGTTCAAAATCAATGTCCAGCACTGTTGCATTTGTGTGTGTTCAAAATCAATGTCCAGAACTGGGAGATGTATTGACAGCAGTGTAACCCTTTTTTTTGTAAAGTTGTTAACAGATTAGGTAGTTTGTAATTAAACTAACCGTAACGGTTAAGGTAGGATGCTGTATTTTTTTAGGGAATGAACTCTGTTTTTGCTGGTGTGTGTAACCCAGCCTCAAACATCAATGGCTGTATTTAATGTGTGACAATGGAGGATGCTAAAATTCCCTCCTTAAATGCTGAATTATGAAATTTAATGGTGGGTGGGCTGCTTATATAGCCCCCTAAATTTTTTGAAAACAATTGGGTTTGGCAGGTTTTTTTAAAAACTTGGGGGGAAACAAAAATTTCAACCCAAAAAACCATCCTTCAAATTTTCGGTGGTTTTTTTGGGGGGAAATACCCCACTTGCATTTTCTCCAATAATTTCCCACCAAAATTAATTGTGGGTGGCCACACTTTCTCTCTCCTCCCCCTTTAATTAAACCCACTTACTTTTCCTAACTTTACCCTTCAATCTTTTGCTTCGTGAACCGTGAAAAGGCCCAAAGTTGCACATAAAAAAAAACGGAGGTAGTATAATTAACTAAATTGATTTTACATGACTAGTATTTGTACATACTTAGCATTTTAGGTAATATGTATTTCTCTTTTGTTTTGGTTTGGCCCTACTTATCATTAATGATAAGTAGATAGGTGATGACGAACAAGCAACGTGAACTAAATGTTGCATTGGGGGCAATGAGCAGTCATCACCTAGTTCAATTTAGTGTTGAAACCTAGTATATGTGTTTTAGTTACTTCGGAAATGTTTTGAACTATTATTATTATTATTAATAAATGATAAGTACTTTTCTTCCGCTGCAAGTCTCTGTTAAGTCTTACGTAATCACGTGGCGGTAATATCCCCAAGTTACTCCATAAGGTTGCATTATGATCATCATTATGGGAGAGTAATTTGGGGGTGTTACAAAGTGGTATCAGTTTTCGGGTCTCAAAAAGATTAAAATGGGAAAATAAAACTGATGGGTAGACCTAAGAAGGGCATATAGGATAGAGTTTCGCATTTGTTTTCCTCAAGTATATATTCAGTATTTAAGTAAAAACTACTTTCTATTTTGAAGAAAGATTAATAATGAGGATTGTTGGATTGGCAGTCAGCTCTGGCTAGGCAGGACTTGGGCTCAGGGCTCAGGACCTGGGATCTCATTGGTCCAACTAATCCACATTATGAATCAAGTATTCAACTTATAACTATATAATATTTTCGAAATAAAATGTATTCCAAAATGATTACAAACTTTACGTGAATTATGTGCATATAGACTAAGCAAACGTCCAAACTATATTTTTAGAGCATAAGGTTCGAATAAAATTTCGAATTACAGCAAGATTGATGGTCTTTTGGAAATTTTTATATTCCAAGGTATATCGAATGCTCATGAATTACACGATAATTATCTCTAAATTGAAAATGTATTGAAAGGTGAATTACACTCTTATGCGAATTATATGGTGAAGTGTTTGTTGATTTGTGTGTTATAATTGTATGCAAATTGTGATGAAATCTGGTGACAATTTATTTCAAGATGTTACCTATAGTTGCTTTTAAATGGCAATTTTAGGCTTATTAGTTAATTTGAAGAACGTTTAGTACTCAAGATATTTTGTGAACAGTAAAGTTATCACATCTCTGAGTCTTTGTTAGATGGATGAGTAATTTGTTTGTAAATGCGTTGTGCTTAATTACCACATTATTTAGGACCATGTCTCTAAGGCAACAAATTAGGAGAGGGAGTAGTTCCAAATTCAACTATGTCATCAAAAGGCCAAAAATAACCGAAAACATAGCTGGTATCGTTTCAAATCAAGGAAAAGCCCATAATGACCTTGATGCTTTTGGGGAAATTTTTAAGAGAGCAGCTGTGGCCAAACTACCCACTTACCTTGGCAAAGTGGATCCAGCAAGCTTAGAAAATTGGGTGAGAGAGTTTGATAAACTTTTTGATGCTATCAATTACCCTGCGGAATTAAGAGTCAATAATGTTGTTTATTACCTTAGAGAGGAAGTCGATTTGTGGTGGAGTCAAAGGAGAGATGACTTGATGAGTAGTCCTAACTTTGGGTGGGCTGAATTTAAGGAGACTTTAAGAGAGAAGTTTTACCCTGCCTATTTGAGGAAACAAAAATGTATGGAGGTTACCAACCTTAGGATGGGGAGCATGACAATAAATGAGTATTATAGCACGTTCATTGAGTTAATGAGATTTGCACCTGAGGTAGTACCAACTGAAGCACTTAAGGCCTAGAGGTTTGAGCAAGGTTTGACTTTAACCCTTCAAGGGAAACTAGGAGAAGTGACCTTTGAAACTTTAGATGAAGTTTATGAGAGGGAAAATTCTGTGGGGAAAAGAGGAAGACTAGTGGGACTTTCAATGGGAGTGAGAAGAAACCCAAGGTTGATGGGAATCCTAGTGGGAATTTTAATGGGAAAAGGACAACAGGGGTAATTTTGAAAGGGAAAATGGGAACCGAGGGGGAAAGGGAGGGGGGTCGGACGCCGATGGAGGTGGGTTGTCGGGGGTGCGGGGGTTCAAGGCTGCGGCTTGGTTTGGGGGAGGGGAAAAGGGAAGGGGTGGCTAGATGGTGGTGGGGTGATGATTTTTTTTTTTTTTTTTCCGGATTTTTCACCATATACCACTGAGTTTTAACTTAATTCACCATATACCACTAAAAACTTTCTAATACACCATGTACCACTGAGTTTAACATAAAATGTCACAACATGCTCTTAATGACTAACTCCGTTAGTAATTAAGGTTAATTATGTCACGTGGCCGTCACTTATTAGCTCTTATTAATATTATTTAATTAATTACTTAAATAAAGAATTAAAAAAACTTTAAAAAAATTAAATAAATAAAAAAAACCACCACCAACCTAGCCACCGCTGCCCCCCAGCCCAGCCCCGGCCGGCGCCTAGGTGGTCGGCGTCCATCACCCTTCCCCCACCGGCGACAACCCCCGCCCCTAACCTTCTCCTTTCCCCCCGATCCTTTCCCCAATATCCACAACCCCACCACCAGTTTACCTCCCAACCACCCTCTCACCTACCAGCAGCGCCTTCCCCACCCCTGCGACCAGCCATACCGGCCCTCCATCGCCGACCGACCCACCCCCTACCTTCAATCCTTACCTTGACCCTCTCCCTTCCCCCAACGTGCCACTAGTCAAACCCTAATCCACGAAATCACTCCTTAGCTCCAACCAAAAAAACCAAATTTTTGTACTTTTCACTCCTCCAACCTGGTCGATTCTTCTCGTGGGTGGGTTTTGGTGTGGTTGAAAGGGTTTCGGGGGTTGTAGGTAGATTTTCGGGAGTGGTGGTTGGTTTTAGAGGTTGTGGGTGGTTTTCAATTGTTGTGGGGGGGGTTGTGGATGGATTTTCGAGAGTGGTAGTGGTTTTCAAGGGTCATGGCTACGGTGAGGGGCGGCGCCGGCGCAGTGGAAGGGGAGTTTGGGTGCCGACGGCAGGGTGGAAGGCAAGCTAGGGGCGGTGTGGGGGGCGGGGAGGATGGCTGATTGGCTGGGCTTGGGATGGTGGGAATTTTTTTTAGTTATTTAAATATTTTTTTAATTAATTAATTAATTTAAATAAGAACCACTCCAATGATGCCACATGTCACAGTTAACATTAATAACTAACAGAACTACAGAAAGTGGCATGTTGTGACATTTATGTTAAACTCAGTGGTACATGGTGAATTAGAAAGTTTTTGGTGGTATACGGTGAATTAAGTTAAAACTCAATGGTATATGGTGAAAAAATATTTTTTTTTTTTTTTTATTTCATAAATTAATTTAATTATTAAATGATTAAGTGAGAGTTAGAGGGTAATTAGAAGAAATTAGAGGTTAATTAACTGAATTAGAAGCACTATGTTGTCTACAAAAAAAAAAAAAAATTAACTTCGGGTTTTCTTTTACTATAAAGATTTTAAAAGGTTTTTTTTTTTTTTGTAAAATGGTGCTTTTAAAAAGTTCGGTTTTTTTTTTTTTTTTTTCCTTTTTTTTACAAATTTTCCTTTTTTATAAATTTTTGTAAAACCGGGATTTAATCTTCCTCGTTTGTTTCCAATTTTTTTTTTGTTTTTCTTCCGTTGAGCTTTTTACTTTTACGCTGCACCCTTTTTCTCTCTCCCCCATTGTAAGCGTACTCTAAATTCTCCATTGAAGCGGCTTCTGGGCTTTCTCTCCTCCATTGATACATCTTCTGAGGTAAGGTTTTTATCTTTCTTTCTTTTATTTTAATCATTGAATATCAATTTTCACATTCTAGGGTTTATTTTCACACTCGTCAATTTTAGTATAGTCAATTTAGGGTTTATCTAGGATGGACTATTGAACTTTTGGATGTAATTACTGAAGTTATGAAAGATTATAACGATTGATTTTGTAGCTAGATTGATTTTATGTGCAATTCACTTTGATATTGGAGAATTTTCTGCAATTTTTTCGAGCCTAATTTTGATAATTGAATCAAATTTGGCTCTAATGTGTTGCAGACTTTTGTTTATAACCCTTTAATGTTAGGATAGAGCAATGAAAATTGACATTTTCTCGGGCGGCTGCCCCTCTGTTTTTTATTTACCCCATTTCACTGATTTGATAAATTTGTTTGGTTCACTTAATTTTCAATTCAAAAATAATTCCCGTTTAACGGCTGCGTGTTTGCACGGATTTGATTATTAGAGGATGAATTATGGCTGGGAATTGGGAATACTTTTGTTTTTGATTCCTGGATTGGTTTACTGGGATTGAGTTCTTGTAATCGGAACTCACCTGCTGGTCATATTAAGTTACGAGGGGGATGTCTCTCAAATACCGGGAGGCGTGAGCTCCTGTTCATTTACACTTCAATAGATTTTTATTACCTTACAACTACTCGTATTAAGTTTCTGCCAGTGAATATGAACTAAGTACCAATCGATGTCTGTTATCTTTTTGGCAGAAATGAAAAGCTAGTAACTGTAAATGTCTAGTTTTTATAAGGCATTAACCTCCTTGCATAAAATGTTGCCAAAGTTTGTAATAGTATACTGCTCTAGAGCTTGGAGTGAGCTTGAAGCAATTCAATCTTGATGACGCACAAGCATTTCGATTTTTGGGGCAAGTTCATACTTCATAGTTGAAACTTGAAAGTAGAAAAACTCAACTGTTGCAAGATAATGAAAATCATTAGAAGAAAATCAAAAGTGGCTCCTTGCATTAAATGTTGACAAAATATTTAGAATTACTCTGCCTAGAGCTTGAATCTAGCTAGATGCTATTCAATATTGATGACACATTAGCTCTTCAATTTTGGGGTAGCTTCGTAGTTGAAAGTAGAATAAATCAAACAGCTGCAAGATAATGGAAACCATGAGATGGATACAAAAGTGGCTTAATTCTTTGGTAGGAATTTTTCCCACTAAAGCTCAAATGGTACAGCAACAAATTTTGTCCTTAAATGGAATCCTTAATGTGTTGCTTATTTGTTATTTCTTGAAAAGTCTTTGCTGCAGATTAATTAAAGGACATATGCCGAAAGGTTCCATAGTTTAGGCCTTTAGGGTATGGTGTAGAAAACATTTATGATCCATACAGAATACTGGCTTTACATAGACGATTTTTTTTTTTTTTTTTAAATAACTAATAGAAATGAAAGAACTATTTGAAGTTTCATTAGGACTCTTAATTGCTGTGTGTCCTTAGTCACGGAGTATATAGCTGATTACCTTTTAAGTTAGATACTTAGATTAATGGAAATGGCCAGAGTAGCTAAAATTTCAGATTCTTCATTAGTGCAGAGTATAGATTTTTCTTCTAGTTCGTTCACCTCTAGCTGAAAAAGAATGCTTATTTTTCATTTTATAGTCCTTATTGACGCCTCTCCCGGCCAGGAAAAGGTAGCATAATCATCTTACACGCAACCTTCTAAAAGTCATGTGGTGTGTCATTTTTTATGAACTTTTTCTTACTATTAGAGAACTAATGGGATGTTCCACTAATTTCCTCCTGGATATATTATTTTGTTAACATGATTCCTTAATTTTTCTCAATGCTTCTCATTTTATGTGAAGATATTTATTTTTGCGCCTGGAACATTGATATTTTGATTTTTGTAATTACTGCTAGAATTTTTCTTTCCTTTACTTTTTTTTCTTCTGTTGTCGGATTATTTATTTACATCTAGTGTGAATTACAGGTTCAAGGACTGTACTTTGTGTTTGCTGCTATATGGTATAAGAAACTTATTGCTACTTGTGATACATAGGAGAAAGAGTTTACTATGTCGAGTAAAAAGGAAGAGAAAGCACAAGCTGCCGCTGACAGAATAAAAGCTGCAGCCTTGTCTGCTGCAAAAGGTCTCAGCCGAGCCCAAGCTGAGAGAGCAGCGACTGCTGCGGCCAGAAATGTAAATGCTTATGGACAGAAGGAAGAGGGGCCTAGCAGATGGCAAGAGAGGAAAGAAGCTAAAAGACAGATGTACTTGATGAGTACTGAGAAGGCAGTGAGATTGGGTGAGAGGAAAGATCTGAAGGCCAATGTCTCCGCTGTAGGAGGGGCTGCTTCTCAATGTCAAAAATGTTTCCAACCAGGGCATTGGACTTATGAATGCAAAAATGAGAGGGTGTATATCTCACGCCCTTCCAGGAGCCAGATCCTCAAGAACCCCAAACTAAGACAGAAATTGATGGATTCTTATAATGAGGATAATCCTGATATTAAACGGGAAGAGATTCAGGAGGAAGAGGAGAAGGTAGAGAAGAAAGACAAGCGAAAGAAGAAGAGTAAACGGAAACATAAGTCAGATACAGAATCTAGTACTGATGCTTCAGAGTCTGATTCCGATAGCAGGTCTTCAGCTTCTGTGTCGGATTACTCATCAGAGAGTGCTTCGGACTACAGCTCCTCATCAGATTCAGAAGATGAGAGGAGTAGGAAGAGGAGAAATAAAAAGCAGAAGGGACGACGTAAGAAGTACAGTTCTTCATCTGAATCATCAGATCCTGACTCTAGCTCAGATTCTGATTCAGGTAAGAACCGAAAGAGTAAGAAGAAGCACAGCCGCAGACGCTAAAGATGATGATAGGTAGCTGTTTGTGGATAGTGCTGGACTCTGTCTCATATTTTCTTCAAGCACTTTGAGAGTTTTGCTATCATGAATCTACTTTTCCTTACCAGTTTCCTGGAGAGCGATTACAGAATACATATACTCCGTGTGTTGGAATTTGTATCTTTAAATTCTTCCTCATGTTGAATCTACTATGGATTTTGAGCTATGCTTCGTACTGATGAGTTGTATTAGTAAACTCTCTTTGATTTTGCTATACTTGGATGTGATGCCTTTGAATTGTAGCTGTTTTTTTAAGATCGCAGATAAGTTCCAGGAACTCTTTGTCCATATGCTGCTTGCTCCTTTGCATATCTTTTTTGGAACAGGTTTCTTCAATTGTTTTGATATGATTGGAGAATTCAGATTTTGCTTGAAGATTTCTCTTAAACTGCTTAGACGCCAATGAGGCTAAGATGATGACCTCGGCTGAAGATTTTCTCTTAAACTGCTTAGACTCCAAAGATTTTTTTACATACAGTGAAGGTGGGAGGGGGCAGCTTCTGAGATGTGACTTTATTCAAGAAACGAAACTGAGACCGCCTAGTTTTCACTTTTCAGGAGGTTGTCGAAGGGTTGTACATGCACTTGTAGTTATTGGTTAGCACAACAGTTGTATGCTTGTATGAGTATTTTTTTTTTTTCGACAACGGTCTAAAAAGGAGGTTAGCTTCCAACTAACTCAAGACTACAAGGAGAATACTTGTATGAGTGAATTTTTGGTGACATGCAAAAGGCAGAGCTATGATTTATCAAACTATAAGTTGGTAATATCTTCAATACTAGATTTGCTTTGGGCTTCACTCAAATAAAGTTTAAAATCGGCCTTTGCCTAAATCATTAATTGTGTAACTCTTATGTTTATAGCTATTGAGTGATGGTAATTTGATCATCTCTACCCACAAGTTAATCGAGTGTTAAAAGAAACATTGGTCTAACACTCTAACTCTAACGCCAAATTCTTAACTATATTTAGTCCAAAAGTGGCGGTCAAATGCACCAAATGCTACATCTTTAAAACTAGATTTGCATTGGGCTTTGCACAATTTATATTTAAAATTGATTGTCCTCGCCTAAATCATTATTGTTTAACTCTTATGTTTACAGTTTTTGAGTGAAGTTAATTTGATCACCTATATCATAAGTTGATCAAGTGTTGAATAAAACACTGTTCTAGCTTTATAATCTTACATACGAAGTAGTATGTTAATTAATATTAATATAAAAAAAAGATGGTGGTAAAATATCACCAAACACAACAAAATATGACAAAATACAAGTAGTTATTTAGAGAACCCTACTATAAATGCAAACTACATAGAATCAAATCCGGTTTATATCCTTCGCTCTTATGACTCTTTACGCCCGAAAAGAAAACATACGAACTCGAAAAGCAGCTCTTTTCATCCATCCATAGTTTCATTTATTGCTGAAATTTGAATGCCCACAGCTCGCATCACAATTCACGAGTGTATTGTGTATTCGTGTGATCGTGTATACCCTTTTTCTCTTAAATCTTAATCTGTTGCTTACAAACCCAGTCATCTAAAACAGGGATTAATTAATCAAATCTTCCAGAAAAATTAACATTAAACAATTCAAGAATATTGCTTTCTTCTTTGCTTCCTTCCACACTCTGAAAGAGAGAGAGTCGGCAAGAAAAACATCGACACACTCTCACAAACACTCTATCTCTTCACTCAAATGTTTTTACAGATCTCAAATTTGAGAAAATAATTATGATATTCAGATCCAAAATCAAATGGGCAGCTTTAGGAGGATTGATCTTATCCATTGTTTCATTAGTTGTTCATTTATTTCTTGCCAAATATTCTACTGTTGATGTTGTTCATTCTGCTACTTTCACTGTTTTTCCTGATGATTTATCTGCTGGTGTTGGCCCGGTAAGATCGTTTTTCTTGCTTTGAAACTAAATTATGGGTTTTTAATTTTGGTTAATTTTTATTGTTCTTGCATTAGAATTAGATTATAATTGATGGATATCGTTAAAAAAATTAATTTTGATGAGTTATTGATTGATGCAGGTTTTGGGGTACAAGAAATTGTGGGCAAATGTGAGATTTCTTCAGTCATTACAGCCATATTCTAATCCTAGAACTTCATTTCCTGGTATAATATTTTGATGGGCATTTTATATTGTATTTGTTTGAGTTGATGAGGAAGTTTTAAATTTGTAGCTCAATTGGTTCTTCAGATTTTGGTAGCATTTGGTATTTTTGGAGTTATTCATGCACTAATTAATGGTCTATTTTCATGGGCAAATGTCGAATTTTGTATATTATGTAAAGGAATTCATAGTTTGATATGCACTTATTATTGTTTTTATCTATGCACTAATTATTGTTTTTATCTGTGCACTAATTAGTTGCCTATTTTCGTGGGCAAATGTTGATATTTGTATATTATGTAAAGGAATTCATAGTTTGATATACGCTAATCATTGTTCTTATCTATGCACTACTTATTGTTATTGATGATGATGAACATTTCTTTCCCATTTTAAATTTTTTTTGGAAGGGTTTGGTTACTACATTTGCCCCTTCCCTCCATTGTGAAACTTACTGCATTCAATTTTTTAATTTTATATTGATCTTGAAATATCTTTAATTTCTTGTTGTAGAGCCTGTACGGAGCAGTGGTTTTATATATGCGAAAATATTTGGTGGATTTGAGAAGATAAGAAATTCGGTATATATTGTTGAAGTTTTCTATGTATCCCTGGGCTGTATTTTTTTCCTTTTAGATATTATGGTGTTTAGTAAATTTTCTCTACCTTTTCCCATAAGGTTAATATGTTTTTTGTTTGCAAGATTGCTGATCTTGTTGCTGTAGCTAGACTTTTGAATGCGACTTTGGTCATCCCAGAGATTCAAGAAAGTCTCCAGTCTAAAAGCATCAGGTTCTCGCTTGTTTTGTCATTAATTTTCGTTAGTTTCCTTGCTAAATATTGTGATGCCTATAGTTTCATCAATTAATCCAAATGATGAATACATTTCTTTGTCTCATGTTGTTCCAGCTCAAAGTACAGTAGCTTTTCGTACATATACAATGAGGAGCAGTTCCTAGCAGCTTTGCAAAATGAAATTAAAATTGTAAAAACCTTGCCTTCTAAGTTGAAAGAAGCTAGAAAGAAGAAACAGTTTCCAACTTTTAAGCCTACACGGTCTGCCTTGCCAAGTTACTATACTAGGGAAGTTTTACCAGTGTTGAAAAAAACAAAGGTTATTGGCTTAGTGTTGTATGATGGCGGATGTTTACAGGTATTGTTGTCTCCTTACTTTGGTATCTTGTATTCTTATTACTTGCTAGTAGCGTCTTGCTCACTACGATTGGTATTGATTCTACTGGATGGAAAATATGAATTTCAGAGGTAGCATGTAATTAATTGAGCGCATAATACATTGTGTACTGTGTATTTGATCTTTAAATGACTTTGTTCTTTGAATGCAATGTATGACCACCTATTCTAGATAGAAGAACTTTTAGCCTCTTACAATGAACATTACAATGTAGATCATTTTTTGAATTAAATTGTTGCTATATTCCCCTTTCCCATTTCTCTTTAACAAGTTTTGATTCATGGATTGTTGGAGATCTCAATTTGATTTTTCTTTTAAAAAGTCGGAGAGATTTGTCTAACACTCAAGTCAATAGATTCACTTGGGCCTATATAGAATGGAAATTCTATTGCGAACTTCAATAATCTTAATTGCGTTATTATATCTATTGTTTGTTTACACTTTCAAATGTAAAAATATTTGTCTTGTTTGTTCTCTTATCCTTATTACTTTTGCGTTCTGTTATATGCCTACTCCTGTTTTTGGTGTTTTATTCAGATGATTAAGCAGTAATGATAATGCATTAATTCGAAGAAGACTAAGGAAGTCCTGTGTGTATAGTTGTAAAGCAATTATGAATTGTATATAGAACTAATTGCTGATCAACAAAAACAAGGTGTCAGTCTATCTAATTCAATGCAGTATATCAGATTGGTTTGAAAACTTGTTTTATGAACTTTTTGCTCATGGTTCTTCCTTCAGGATGACCTTATTCCTAGCTTGGCGGAGTATCAAAGGCTTAGGTGTAGGGTTGCTTATCATGCACTGCACTTTAGAGCGGAAATTCTGGCACTTGGGCATGAAATTGTGAAGAGGTAAATAATATAATTGCATGTATAGATAGCCAACATTTCCTAGCTACATCGTAAGTTAGGTAATTGGAAAAAAGTTATAATTATGTTTTTCTGGCATTTGTTGATGGTTAATTTAGTATCTGAACTGAGTAATTGAGAAAATAAATTTATCCTAGCTCAGTGCAATGCCTGATTGGATTGATTTTGGATCTTATGCTGTTGATAATGGAAGAGAGAGTAACATGTATCAAAGATTTTGACTTCACCTCTGATTCCTTTAGATGTTCAGCTAAAAAGAGAACTCTTCTTGAATGCTTTCTGATGAATTGGTTCATGTTTAAAGTATTTTCTGTTTTTAGAGAATGATAAAAATTCCATGATTGCAAATTGTTACTCTATTGCATCAATAGTTACAAAACATATTATCTGAAGAGTACTTTTTCTATTCAGGTTAAGGGCTTCTGGCCAACCGTACATTGCTTATCACCCGGGGCTTGTGAGAGATGCATTAGCTTATCATGGTTGTGCAGAGCTTTTTCAGGTTTACTTTTACAGACTCACTTTTTGAGTTTTAAATTCTAATTTGTAAAGAGAATAACTTGTGATAAAAGGTGTTCATTGATGTATTCAACTCCTGTGAGATGGGGTAGGAATTGCTGTATAGTAATGGCGTGCATCAGGCCATCAGCAAGATTGTATATTATTGATTATGTATTAATGCACCTGATGGCTATCAGGTTATGTACCTCCTGATGTTTGGATTTGTGTATAGAAAGAATCTATGAAGGGCTTTAATATAGAGGACGAGTAAGTCGGTGCATGTCTATGCATTAACTTTACCTTTTCTGTTATATAATGGGCTAATGGCTATCAGGTTATGTACCTCCACATTATTCAAGTCCTCATGAAAAGGGTGATGGATTGGTCCATATAGAATTTGAAATTCTTGTTTGTCAAAGGTTTTAGATGACAAATCAAATTGTTGCAGATTGAAATTCTACTAGCTTTTCCCTCTAGTTGGATTCTGCATATGCATTGGACTAAGTAGCAACATAACTTGTTCCTCAGTAAGAAAAGCATTTAGGCCACCTCGTTTGGTTGTGGAACAATTTTTTATTCCATTTCAAGGTTAATTGTTATTATGTGCTGACTAGTACTCTGCATGTCAGGATATTCATACTGAACTCATACAGTATAGGAGAGGACAGATGATCAAGCAACGCATTATCAGAGAAGAGCTAAGTGTTGATTCACATGCTCGTAAGATAAATGGCTCTTGCCCCCTTATGCCTGAAGAGGTACTTATCAGTTTAATATCTGTATTTATAACCTGAGTCATAGGAATTATCACCTTTCCTTAATGAATATGGCAAAAGGCAAATTTTTATTATTTAGTCCACTCTTGAAACAAAAGGGCTCAACTCCTGCACAGAATTGTGTGTGTGTGTGTGTGTGTTTTGGGGGGGGGGGGTGGGGGGCTAAAAGATTTGGGCCATATGATACCAAAAAATCTCCACCTTGGACCAAATCTTTAGTACTTGTCATGCGAGTTTGAATCTAACAAGGATAAACTCTGACTAAGTCCAAGCAATGATCAAACTTAGCAGTAGGAAGTGGCTTTGTGAGCATATCCGCAAGATTTTCTGAAGTATGAACCTTATTAAGCACAATTTCACCTTGATCAATAGTATCTACGGAGATGTGCTTGGTCTTGAAATGGTAAGCATCATTCTTGGTGAGAAAGATAGCACTTTGCTATCAGAGTATACCACAGTGACACCTTGTGATATACCAAGTTCCATAACAAGACCTCGCAACCATGTAGCCTCCTTAATTCCTTCAGTTGATGCAACATACTCTGCTTTAGTAGTGGAAAGAGCTGCTATTGGTTGCAATTGAGCATTCCAACTTATTGCTCCCGAACAAAGAGGGAAGATATAATCGGAGAGAGACCTTCGACGGTCAAGATCACCACCATAGTCAGAGTCAACGAACCCAACAACATTAGTAGAAGTTGTTAAGTTCTTATAAAATACCAACCCCATATCTATAGTACCTTTTAGGTACCGACATATCCATTTTACAGCATACCAATGCCCCTTGCCAGGGTTACAACATATGATAGATCACGTCTAGTACAGACCATGGCATACACAAGACTACCAACTGCACTAGCATAAGGAATGCTAGCCATTTTCTCCTTTTCTGCCTCCATATGCAGATGACAGCTTACAGCAAGTGGGGTAGAGACAGGCTTACAATCACTCATATTTAAACGATCAAGAATTTTTTTTGATATAATTTTTCTGAGATAGAAATAACTAACCAGCCTTTCGATCTCAATGTATCTCCATGCCGAGGATTTTCTTTGCTGCACCAAGATCTTTCATCTCGAACTCCCTGCGAAGTTGAGACTTCAATTTATCGATTAATCTCTTATCTCGAGATGCTATGAGCATATCATCCACCTACAGCAGCAAATAGATATAGACTCCTCCATGCTGTTGGAAGTAGACACAATGATCGTAGTGACTACATATGTAGCCTTGTTTACTCATAAATGAGTCCGTATAAGGATTTCTTTAAGCTACATACATGATTTTCCTTTCTTCTTCTAGATCTCCATGTAGAAAAGCAGTTTTGACATCGAGTTGTTCTAACTCCATGTCAAACATAGCTACCATTGCAAGGACTCGAATAAAGGTATGACGAATAACAAGAGAGAATCTCATTAAAGTCAATACCTTCTTTTTATGGCATCCTTTGACTACAAGGCGTGCCTTCCATCTTGCAGGTTCAACTCCTGGAATGCCTTCCTTTTGCTTGTAGATCCATTTGCAAGTAATTGCTTTTCGACCTTTAGGTAACTCAACCAGGTCCCATGTGCCATTCTTATGGAGACTATCCATCTCCTCATTCATTGCCACAAGCCAATTGTTGGGTATCATATGGCCTAAATCTTTTGGCCCAAACCTTTTGAAGACCAAAACCATTCTTCATACTTCTAGTATGTCGGTGCATTCATGATGATCGAGTTCCACAACTATCTTGATCATTCTAGAAAATGAAGCAATACTCTTATGCAAGTAAATCTAGAAAAATCTTCATACATCCCATATCATCACATTCCACCGACCTCAACTCCTGTAAATACTTGGAACTTAGCTTATTTTTCATCCATCCACAAAAATTTGGTCCTTCCTACATATATTTCCATACGTCAAAATACATAAAGGCCTTCCTACTAAACCACTTCCTTTTCATATTTCCTCCTTGAATAATTCCACTATTCCTTTTTAATACTCCTTAGTGAGTTCCTTATTTCTGAGAGTTATATTGTAATATTTCTCACCCTAATAAATTAGGGTCTTTGTACTCTCATTTTAATATAGTGGGTTTATTTTTCAAGTGCTCGTTGTGTGTTATTTTCTTAATAGCTTTTCTTGTCGTTTATACTTTGTCAATCTCTCGACTAATCACGTTTTCGCTAGCGCTCTTACCCTAACAAGTGGCATCCGAGCCAAAGGTTGATTAGAGTGTTTACACATTGATGATGTCTTCGCTAACGAAGTTCGAGATTGATAAGTTCGATGGCAAGATTAGTTTCAACATTTAGGAGGATTCTTATGAAGGTCGTTCTTGATTGGAGCGGATTGGACGCTAGATGGCGTACGAAAGTCATACATAGTGGATTCATCATTCTACCTCGGTTGGCATTGCGTCCTCGTCAAACTAGTTCAAGTATGTCACATTTCTCTTCACCCCAGATGTTGATTGGGTTTTCAAGTGACATATTACATACCCTTTGAGTTCATATGACAAGTACATGCATATGGAATTTGCTCCAAGGTGGAGACTGTTGGGTTAGTGTGGCCCAAATTCCATAGCCCATCTCATTAAATCTCAAGGTTTCTCAAGTTTTCTAGAAAACTCTACTATATTGAGAAATTGATGGAAAATTTGGGAAGAATCTAGAATTGGTGAATGGTCATGAAGATTCTAGATTTATGTGGCAATTTAAAGAGCATGTGTATAGAATTTTCCACACTTCTTCCACCTTCATACATTACCTATATATAGTGGTGTTGGGCATCATTTGGGGAGTATGGATCCACCTATATCATCCTCCAATATTTCGATACTATAAACTCTATGAGTGTCCCTTTATACATATCATGATCAGAGTTTCTACATACACACAATCTCCCTAATCCACTATCCTTATATTGTTGAGAGTTCTCGTAGCGAGGGTTCTCTTGTACTACTCACACTTTCAAGGGTTCTTGTACCCTTATTTTCACATAATGGATTATTTTGGTACTCGTCGTTCGTGGGTTTTTTTGATAATTTTTCCCACGTTAAATATTGTGTGCCCATTTCTTTCCTACTTGTCTTGCCTTTAATTATTTTATCAATCTCTACATCTTTAATTTGCTTCCGTTTTACATTCACCAACCCTAACATCAAATTTTTAGAATCCTGAACTGTTCATTCTTATTCTTGGCTTCTTGCATGGTGAAGGGAGTTAAAAAATTTAGAGGGAAAACTAAGAAAGTGGACAAAGATGTGTATTTTGGAGATTGTTTTGGATACATTGAATTAAAAGTTCAAAGAATTCATATTTCTCTTGTTCAGTCACATTACCTAACTTGAAACCAAATTGCTCTTGGAGTCTTTGATACCTCTGCTCGTCCTAGTGTATACCAAGGTTTTACTTCAGACCAGAATTTCCATCTTATTGTTGTGGACTTCCCTAAATAATAGTAAAGCACCTTGTACATATTTTTATTTTACAAATTTATGGTAATATCATCATTTCAGTCCATAACTAAGTAATGTATGAATTGATTTTGATCCCTAAACTACTTTAATAGAAGTAAGAAACATGCTGGAAACTGAAATTGCTATGATTGGACTTCTTTTAACTTAAAAAGCTTCTTCATCTAAAGTATGTGCCTCCAACCCTCCGCTGAGATTACAGATTACACAATACTAGAAATAAGCCCACAAAATCAATTATCTTAGGACTTCTGCTCAAACTCTTAAATGTACTTGATTGAATGTAGCTAAGCTCCAAAATTTAATTGTAATTACTTGAATATGCATCATAGTTGCCTTCTCTGTGATAATTTCCGTGGAACACTGTAATTACATATATGGCTCTGTACCCTTAATAATGATCAGTTGCACTGTTGAACTTGGGGATCCTATTATTGGGCTGAATTAGTGCCCTACTGAAATTAAGTGTTGAAAATTAGTCTTGATTAGCTTATTTAAAGCTGGGGACTCCCCTTTTGTTTGATCACTATGCCCAACTGTGACATAATACTCCTTATTGCAGTCAACCTTATCCTTCTTAATCGAGTTGCTCTTGGTGATAATACTGTGTCAGTATTTGCGGAGTCGATTCCAATGCATTGCATATTGCATCTCTCACTACCTGAAAGCAACAAAATTATTCCCATATAGAAAAGAATAACACGCTGTCGCAAATTGGCTATGATTGACTATTTGAATAGTATATGCATGTCCTTCATCCTTTTCGATAATCTTCTTTACAATAACCATGAAATGATAGTGTATTACTAAAACTTTGTTTGAGACTTTGTATTTTTAGATAATAGGGAAGTTCTTTCTGCTTATCATGGCTGAACTTAGATACTTTTTAAAATTTTGATAATTTTTATTTTGCATGCTTGATTGTTTTTGTAGACATTTAATTACTATTTGCCACATCTATACATTTGTGCTCCCCTAGGCTCAGACTTTCATCTTTCCACTTTGTGTTAGTGGTAGTTTTTGAAGATGTTATCCTTGCCATTATCTGGAGTCCAGTTATCCATCTGAAATTTGGTTGGGACTTAGGAGTTATGGTTCCTTAAGTTCTTTGTTTGTAATGCACTTCAGTTTTGTTGTACTTCAGGTAGGTTTGCTGCTTCGAGCCATGGGATATCCTCCGCTCACCAGAATATATGTGGCTGGCTCGGAAATCTTTGGTGGTCAAAGGATACTGATCCCTCTCCGGGCCATGTACACCAACTTGGTAGACCGCACCTCATTGTGCAATAAGCAGGAGTTGTTGAACTTGTTTGGCCCTGAAAAGCCTCTTGAGGATAGTTTTCTTGAAACACTTCCATCTAAAAGCCCACAGAAGTCCAAAGAAGATTGGGACAAGGCTGGTCCCCGACCTAGGCCCCTTCCTCCTCCTCCTGACAGACCTATTTACCGTCATGAGAAGGAAGGATGGTATGGTTGGGTTGCTGAGAAGGATGTAGAGCCAGACCCCTCACCAACAGAATTGAGGAATCAGGCACATAGACTCTTGTGGGCTGCTATTGATTATATAGTGTCAGTTGAAGCAGATGTTTTTTTTCCCGGTTTTCATAATGACGGCAGTGGATGGCCAGATTTCTCAAATTTGGTTATGGGGCACCGGCTTTATGAAGTTGCAGCATTTAGAACATACAGACCAGATAGGTACTGTATAACTGAGTACTCTACCATTGCACTTCATGTTTCTAGTATTTTTCTGTCTTGCCTTTTCCTTTTCTGTTTGGGGAGGACTTATTATCATGCCAAGTAGGTACTACTTCATACCTGATTCCTCACCTCATTTATGAATAATGGAATCTTCTTCTGCTGTAAATGCGTTTTTTCCAAGGTACCACATTTTCATGTGAATATATATTTGTGTGTTCATATCAGAACTCAGACATCTGAGTTATGATAGTAACTTTGTTAATATAAAAAGGCGGGGCTCTTCTTGTCAGATGAAGACCAATGCATATCTGTAAAAAATAGATCTAGGAGAAATGAACCCCCTGTAGTTAAAATTGTTTAACTTTATTATATTAAAGTTCTGACAGGAGGCCTAAATTGTGTTCATCAGGAAAATACTGGCAGAACTATTCAATAGTAGCAGTGAGAATCTATACCATCCCAAACGCAAATGGATTTCTTCGGTGAGAGAGCATTTGAATAAGAGTATTGTTGTGGAGGGCCTTCTAAGAGAATTACAATTGTCAAAACCTTCTTCATTCCTTTCTTACCCCATCCCAGAGTGCTCATGTCGGACATCAAACTCTGCTGAGATTCTTGGTTCAATATACAAAGATGTCGACGAGTGCCCTAAATGGATGGAGAAAGGTCTCAAAGTCAGCCAAGAGACACTTTTAAGCGGGAGTGACTCACAAGATGATGATGCTGAATTGGATAAGCAGATGGAACCTGATGAAGACAATTCAACAGCGACAAAACCATCATTGGAACAGGATGAGGAAATGGATCCTGATGACTAGAGGTAGTTTTGCAAATATGTCCACATTCTTTTGCATCATTTCCATTGGAAAAACTAAGCAATCTGCTTTCGACAAAGTCGATCTCCCTCGGGTGCTAGTTTGGAGAATACTGATGCACCAAAGGCTGACCAAGGTTATGATGTTTTTCTAACTGCCCCCATTGTATTGAGGCTGCACTTTGAGGTACTATAGGCCAGATATCTTCAGCAAGTGGTTGCCTCCTTGTCATTTAAGCACATGCATTAGTTGGACGGAAATTTTCTTCAGGAAAGCTGCAAGATTTGGAAGCTGATCAATTTTTTTTATTTATTAAATTTTTTTTCCATACTATAAGTTACATTTTTATTTTCTTTTCTTTTTATAGTTCTACGTTTTTTGGTAGGAATTTTTATACCTGTAGGAAGGGCTTAGATTATTGTTCGTTCTGTATATCAAAATGTATTCTATTTTTTACTCACGGCTATTAATAAAAGAATGTATGATTTGTTGAGTTATTCCTATTAGTCATTATTTCTTAGAGAAAAATTCCAGCTTAAAGTTTTCCTGCATTTCTTTTGTAGCTGCGTGTATTCTATCATTTGTAACCCCGTAATACATTATTATAGACGGAATTTGATCACGAGTCTTGAGTTTTTTTTTTTTTTTTTTTGAACGCCGGAAAAACGAGCATCAATTAATTAAATCGAGATCCACCAAAGTTTGGAGACTTTGGGGGAAATTGCCAGTACAAATACGAGCCGAGTTCATATCAGCTTCCCATCTTGCAACTAAGTATTATCCCTCAAAACTTTTAACCACCTAAGCTAGTTGATCATTCACCTATAATAATTTATTTTAATGTTTTTAATTAGATAACATAATTAAAGAAATTACATGCACAAACTATTCTACTTAATCACACAGGCCAAGGTTATTTCGTTAATGGTTTATCATGATCATGTAATAATTTCATACATTCATCAACAAAATTAATTTCAATCAACATGACAAATTTGTAATAAAATCAATCACGGTAAGGCCCACATTTAATGAGAAATGGCTTTAAAAAAATACATATAATGAGAAATTGTTACGAGTTATTTATTTACGAAATTGTTTTTTTTTTTCTTTTCATAAATCAAGTACATAAACTTTGATTTTCTCCACAAAAGTACTCCAACATTAAAAAAAATAGACCAAGTTTATAGGAAAGTTCTAGACCCCTGTACGAAGACCCGCTCTGTCTGAGTATCTGTTGATCAGTTTTTAGAGTAAGGCAGAAATTGAAGCCACAATTACAATCTCAAACAAAGCTAATCCATACGTCATCCCTTACATCACCCATCAAACTTTCAATCGGTCATTTAATTCATTGTGCATATAAAATACAAACTCTGAAAATCTTCAGCACCCAAAAAAACTTCAAGAAAAAGAGTCAATTGTAATATTTGTTGGTCAAATGAGTGAGAAAATGGGTGCAACAGGAGAAGGATTTCTTGCTAAAGAATATGGATATGTGGTTTTAGTTTTGGTTTTCTATTGCTTCTTCAATTTTTGGATGGCTTTTCAAGTCGGCAAAGCAAGAAAAAAGTACACCCATTTTTATTTTTAATATATTTTAGCTTAGTTTTTTTTGGGGATTTTTTTTGTTTTTAATTTTATGATTTGGGTTCTATTTGTGATTTTATTTTATTATTAGTATATGCTCATTAACATTTTATATATTTCGACTTTAATTGCATGTGAGGTTTTGTTGTTACTAATTAACATTTTGATTATTCTGGCCTTAATTGTTGTGGGTTTTTGTAGTTATTAAATTTGTGATGTTTTTTTACTTCAATTGTTATGGGTTTTTGCTGTTTTTAATTCTATGATATTGTTTGTATCTTCTAATGGATACTTTTTATTTCATACTTATCAGCATTTTGATAAAAGAAATTCTTAATTGTTGTGGTAATTTTTATATTTATGATTATGTTTTTTAACAGTATATGCTCTTTAATTTTGATTATTTTGACATCAATTATTGTGGGATTTTGCTGTTTTTTAAAATTATGATTTTTTTTTCCAGGTATAAGGTTTATTATCCAACTCTTTATGCATTGGAATCTGAGAACAAGGATGCCAAACTCTTCAACTGTGTCCAGGTATTTTTTACAAAATATTGATTTTTTTCCTTTTGTGTTAATGTTGATCAACTATGTAGAAAGAAATTAATCATAATTTGTGTAATTAAATGATGATTATTGCAGAGAGGGCACCAGAATTCATTGGAAATGATGCCAATGTTTTTCATATTAACGATTTTGGGTGGAATGAGGCATCCTTGTATTTGTGCTGGGCTTGGTGTTGTTTACATTGTTTCTCGCTATTTCTACTTCACTGGCTACTCATCTGGTGATCCTCAGAAACGTCTAACTGTCGGGTAAGTCTCTTTTCTTTTGCCATTTCATTTGTCTCATTTTGAGATTGAGGGAAAAGTCTTGGTTTAGCGGATTAAAGTATTATTGTATGATCTCGGGCCAGACAATTATTTGTAACAAATTAACAATTATGAAGTAACCCATTATAAATTAATATTGGTGATCATGTGAATGGGGAGATTTTTGGTTCAGGATCACACGATAATTGCCCGGGAAAAAAAAAAGAAAAAAAAAAAACGCATATGTCATGTTCCACACATATCATATTACTTTGTTTTTATTTTAATGCATTTTAGAAAATTGTATTAAGTCATGTTATATGTGTCTTTTATAAAAGTTGACCCTTTGTATATGTTTTTGTAAAGAACTTACTAAGTGAATTTGGAAGCACATAATTGATGGTAATATGGTAACCATTCAAGGAAGAAGTATAGGATAATCCATTAATTTGACAAAGGAACGCTTAGTTTTGCTAGTTTTCCTAATACCTATATTGCCACTGGCTTGTACTCATTTTTCTGATTTGTATGTTGAATTGTTGGTACATCTTGACAAATTGATCTCATATAGTCTTTCATAGGGGAGCTTCAACCTTTCATAGTTGAGATATGTGAGACTGAAGTTAGCTCTTTTGATTATATATACCCCCTCAAAGATGAAGATGCTCTGTTTTTTATCAATGATGATATAGAACAAACCAAACAGCACTAGCCTTGACCTTAGCCTTCACACTAGCCCTTGCAGTAGCAGTAGCTTTTTAAGTCAACTAGTAGTTTTCTCCACTACATTTATTTGTTTTGTTTACGTTTAGTGCTTTCCTTAAAATGTTCTTCTTTCCTCCTCAATTCTTCCCAAAGAGTTTCACTCCTTTTGGGTCATGAACTTGGATTTTTGAACCATCAACTGAGTTTTGCCACAACTATTTGCGCTGCTTAATAATTTTATAACCTTTTTCCAAGCTTATCTGGGATACTAGTAGGGCATGTGACTATACACAAACTCTTATGAGCATATGTTGCCGTCTTTATCACCATTTTGTTTATATTAAGTGTTTTATTTGGTACAAGGTTACAGTATATCTCCTTAGGTTATTTAATTAATTTATTGTTTGGAGGTATTGTGAGATTTGTTTTAATATATTATATTTGTTGTTTTTGGCTTTTGAGAGACTAAAAGTGTAGTGATTGCACTTCCAGATATATGTGGATAATTTAAGAAATAAAAGGGCAGGATCTTCAAACCTTTCACAACCTACTTTTTTAATTCGCTTTTGGAATTGAAAAGCCGGAATTGTTTGGGTAGTATTTGAGGGCTTTTACCATGTGACACTGCTAGCTGATGAATATAATATTGGTGAAGACTCATTTTTTGGCTGGTTCATTTGCAATTAGACAAAAGATTTTTGTTTATAGTCCTTCCTCATCTTTAGTCTTGATCCTTGTGTTGATTTTTCAACCAATTTAGCTTGTGTGGCAATTGTATTATTGTTTTTTATGAAGCTTTAGATTTGTTTAAAGTCTAATAGTGACTCAATCTTAAGGAAGGAGCTTTCCACTCATTGTTTAGCCAATTGGCAGATTTTAGCTAGCCTAGCTGGTCTCTGTGGTGTTACTCATAACATGAGTTCAGTTTTTATTTTTATTTTTTTTACATTAACTTTGTGTCACCTTATGAAATACCCAAAAAAAAAAAAAAAAAAAAAAAAAAAAAGGCATTATTTGATTATTGAACAGTTTCATCAAAAAATGATACGAAGTATATAGTCTAATTTTGTGTGATCCTGTTTCTTTCCATAAATTTCACCTTACAAATTTAAGATTGCATGAAGTAGACATAAGGAATTTTGTGGAGATGAGAATTAGGCTTGAAAATTTTGGACCAGTCATTTAATGCCTGGCTTATGTGACCGTTCTGTTGGAGACAGCATAGTAGGCTAAGAACCAAATATGAATGGAAGAGGGATTCTTCAACCTGATTTGCTAAAGAAATTATTGAAATGTATTAAACTCCATATTTGTGAAGAATCGACAGGGTAGTTAAAGTTTCTACATTCAAATATTCAACTGCATAACAGACATAATCTTCCTGCAAGGCTGCAAGTACAATGGTTTATTTTGGGGTACACCATGTATGTGAGACAGTCGCACAATAACTGATTATGAGACTGGGGTGCCTGTTGTTACTTTAAGGGTTGATTTTCACTGTATCTAGGGATAACTTTCAGTGTCACAAAAAATTGGTGTGAACTATTTCACCGTGAGAGGACTGCATTGAAGAGAATATCTATGTCATCTCAAATACTCATTCTATGTCTTCCACATTCTCATACAGATGAGGATTTGGATATCTAATCCTTTATTTTGAGCCAACATAGAAATTTTCATGAATTTGCTGACCGCACTGAATTGCATTTGATAGATCATCCTGAAAAATACTAAGCATTGATTGTTGCCTTATTGGTGTTGATTTTGTTGTTAGGTTGTTTAAGCTGGCATTTGTCCGATACAAATATCATAGTCTGAGTAGTATAGGACAATATTGTTATGTTCCTACTTCCTAGTATTTAACTGATGAATACATGTAAAAATTTAGCTTGGCCTTCCTTAGTTCCTTTAGGTCCTGAGTTCAAATTTCTCCAGAAACTGTCAGATCTTATATTTATGTTGTGATATTTGTTATTTTCCCCTCCTCTCGAAAAGAGACTGTTGCTTGACTTGCTTCCAAGTCTATTGTACTGCCAGAAACCAACTGTTCTATATTTTGCTTACAGGAAATATGGTTTCTTGGCCTTGATGGGTCTGATGATCTGCACAATTTCTTTTGGAGTCAAGCTTCTTACTGCTTGAGAAGTTGGTCTTTCCTGCAAGCTTCGCACACTTAATCCAATGCTTTTTCTTTACATCTTCATTTTTTATGTATTTCTGTTGTACAACTTCCTTTTTTATGTATTATCAGTTAACTTTAAAATTTTACAGACTAAGGCTTAATAAATCCCCTGTAATATTAGTCGCACTTATTATAGCTTTTCTGTATTATGAGCAGTTTTTTGAAGTGAAAAAACATACGAGGGAACTAATTCAATACTCGTATCTCTTTGAGCAGCAGATGGAATTTGTGCTGTCAAACCATTGCAAACCTCCTTTACTAATTCAGTACTTGTTAATAATTGTCGGATTAACAAGCATTAATTTGCTGGGAATGTTAAACTTGAACAACATTTTTTTGGCCACCATAATCTCCGACATTAGTTTATATGCTTCTGCTCTCTTTCACAAGTAGATTGAGAATAGCTACAGGATTAAAATGCCATTACTCATATCAAGAAAAGGGGTTGTAGAATTACAGCAATAATTTTCATATTCTAGATAAAAAGTCTTTCAGAGCAGCTGCAACGTTGTTGTAACATTCCTGGACTCGTGCAACATCCTTGTCTCTTGCAGCATAATCCAACTGCATTATGCATACATGATAAGTTCGGACAGATTAAAATCAGGCCCAATAAGTTTAGATAGTTCAAATAGTCAGCTAACACTGTACCTTGGTAACATTATTGAATAAATTAGCATAGAGCCTCCTCAGAAGAGGCCTGGCGCTGCCCTCTTTGCTCTGGATAATTGTGTAGAAGTCTTGTTTAAGGTATGATGAATTCTTTCGTAATTCTTGTTGTGCGTCCCTCCAAGATTCCGAGTCTATAAGCAACTTGACATCTAATAACGCCTGCGCATGATCTCTGACTACACTCTGAGCCTCCTCAACTGTTTGGTCAGGGACTGTTATCCTGAAGTCAAGACTCTTTGCAGTTTTATCATTCATAATTGCTTCTGTTGTTAAGAATAACGAAGTCATTGCTGTTATGGCTCCGACTCTTCTGCTGATACAGAGCACTAGTTTAGGAGGATTCACCTTGACAATCGGAGAGGACATTGTGCAGCAGGTGTATACAGGAATAGCATATTGTATATGCGCTCCTACGACCAATGAAGTAAGCGCCATTGAATAGAAAGATGGCTGATGATCAGACTACTCTAAACTACCAGTTCATTCATGCTTCCTTCCCTCTGAAAAAACCACAGAACATTTGTTATCATCAAAGGTAACTTAACTTCATTAACATTTGATTACACCCTCTGAAAATACCACAGAACATTTTTTTATCATCAAAGGTAACTTAACTTCATTAACATTTGATAACATGAAATCATAACTGAAGTATAATAATGGATGCAGTAGCACATATAAAAACATATGACAAGAATATAAATAATGACACGGTCCGAGCACAAATGGGATGGGATATCAGTGTAAATTCATTGCACTGTTGCATAACCCCATTTCATAGTTTCTTCAATAATAGCAAGTACAAGAAAGTGGAAACTAATGGGGTTATGGAGCATTATTAAGAATCCAAATCGGTGAAACAACCAACTAAACCAGTTGTCACCGAGCAGTGGCGTATTGAGGCAGAGATAAAGTGAGTATTACCTTAGAAAATTGGAAGAAAAGTGGGAGTTGAGAGCTGGAGCTCCTCAAATTTTGGTGAAGAAGAACAGAGAAAGGGATAATATGTGGTGAGATAATAGGGGCCCAAATCCAAATTGTCAGCTTGTCTTTTTACAACCAAATTATCTACTGCTATTACTATGTTCAATTACTATGTGTGTAGATTTTGATCATGACTAATTATTTTCTCTTTTTTCGAAATTTTCTAATTTATTACAATTATAAAAAAAAATAAAAAATAAGCCACTAAATTTACACGCAATATCGCATCATGAAACACATTTTGAGAAAAGTAAATGGACAACGTTTTCAAAAGAATTTAAACACCAGTATTAGAACAGGATAAGAGTATTAGTTGTTTAATAATTTTGATAAATTTATGTGTAACAATACTTTCTCAATCTTTAAGCACAATTGAATTTTAAGATCTGTCATCAAGAGTAACCATTGGGCAAAGAAATTATTTTGACACCCATCACAATTTGAAAGTCCTACTATAAAAAATAAATCTTTAGAAAGCCCATCATATACTTCCTCCGTTCTTTTTTACTTGACCCGCTTTGATTTTTACAATATTCACCACTCCTTTGACCGTCTTTTGTAAATTATATGTAGGTAAAAATATATTCATATGGGACCTTGTTAGATTCTTCTCAATAAATACTATCATAATATATAATTTCGATAATTTTTACTTATGTGGAATTAAAGTTATTAATCGTTGAAGTTTTGCATTGACAAACGTGATAAATAAAACAGATCAAGTAAAAAAGAACAGAGGAAGTATACAATTTAGTAGTAATAAATTTAGTTCGATAAAAATAAATTGATAGTAAGGAATCTTCATAACTCTAAACACGAAGATTTTTTGATCTTATTCAATAGTTTCAAAAAGGTTGAACGCAGACCAGCACCAGAAAACAGTTCAACACTGGTCCAACCAAAAAAGTCAAACCATAATTGACTCATAACATTGACTGAGATAATTCTATTAATTAGACTAATCAAATGGATTGGTCAACCTTTGCACAAGTTAATTACAGATTTGGATCAGGTTAGTTGTAATCATTTGCTTGTTTCCTGGATATTCTGGACAGGATTTTAGATATCAAACCGAAAAGTTCCTGTTCAAAATCCTAAATTACTGGATTATGTCCAAAATCTTGTTCTATGTCATCTGGAGTATCAGTTTTTATCATGAATATATTCATCTTTTTAGCTTGAAAGAATTTGCAGGCAATAATGAAACTTGTATTTTGCAACAATTTTGAGGCATGGAAAGGAAATTAAGGGAAGAAACATAGAAAAAGGCAACGACATTATAGCAATAGATTCTCAAATTCTACTATCATAACAACAATTTCATGACCGATTGTTTGCAAACCTGGCCAAGGAAATCTTACTCACCCAAAATGGCTACGAATTATAACAGTTTCTACATAGATCCTGCGAGAGCTCAGAATATAAACTTCAGGTGAGCTACAAAGTGTGTATCTGAACAAAAGCTACTAATTTGATGTTTTTAGAATTTTACGGCATGATGCCTCCCAGAAGCTGAGTTAGTAATACTCAGGACATGCTGTAGTAAATTAATAAAAAGATTTTATCTTCACTTGCTTGATCTATGAGTACGACATGGAGAGGGTAGACATGGAGCGAGGACTATACTGTAACTTCAATCTGCATCTTTCTAACGGCAAATCTATGAGTACGTCTCAGTCCCGTGCTTCCCCAACTTCTGAACATCCTCGGGTGAAAGTATTTTAATATAAGAGACATTGTACACGAATGCCCTGTAAGACAAAATGATAAGTAGCTTGTTACAGAAATCCAGGAAGGGAAAGAAGCAAATATCTATAACAAGGAGGAACATGGAAAATAAAAAAAAAAAGAAAAGTAATTCAACACTTCAACAGATCAAGTATGAAAATAAAGATATCTTGAGGGGCAAAATTTCCAATAGAATACACAGAAATGAAAACAGAACAAGGGCGGCAAGCAATCATTAAATATGAGGGTGGATAGAGGTAAACAGAGACCAATGAACAACTCGAAAAAAAATTAATATAAATCATGCAACATATAACAGACTCAACAATACTAGAATAAATGAAAACAGAAAATTTGTGTGTTCATTAATAATCTAGAAGTGGAAACAATGATTACTTACTCCCATGGATCGTCTCCAAGGAGAAGCACATCGTTCTCCCTGTCGACAAATACAAGCTGCCAGCCTGATCTCAGAGGGTCATCGAGCTTTCCCTCAATTCCAAACATCTGACCCAGCTCCTCGCGCAGCTCATGATAACTGCTGAACCGGGAGATGTCTAACGAACGCCCAACTGATCCAGATTTATACACCTGAAACCAAGAAATACCATTATTACTCTATGATACCATGGACAAATGGCAAAACAGTTATTCTTTGTAATTTCCAGAGCATGTACCTTGACAAATGTTCTTGTTGGGGTTGACAGGTCACCCTGCCCTTCACTGTGCAACTCAGGGGAGTTGCTATTACAACCGTACATTGAGAGTTGAAACCCTGAAGCACCAGATGGTATTGAACACAGATCTGTATCATTTGAAGAAGTACGATAAGTGGTCGGCATTGTCATCGGCAACACCAGCCCAGAAGAATCAAGATTAGCACCAAATACGTTGTGATTCTGCACATCTAAGCTACAATTTCCCGTCTCCAAGGAAGCCTCTTTTCCAGGGTATGGTGGTAGTGAGACAGCATCCCCAAAGGCATTAGCGGGTGTATACGAATTCAATGATACTAAGGGATGTTGGGGAGTCTGTTCATTTAACATCGTATGATTTACATTCGACATGTCAGACAAATTACTAATCCCTTCAGTACATGTGGAAGACATAATGTTTTGTACAGGAGTATGAGTGGATAGCTCAGCATTTGCAGTGCTAGTGTCTGCTTTTCCAAGCGATGATGACATAGTATGTTGCTGCCTGCTTTGCATTCCATTATTCGAAAGTGAAAATGCTTCAGGGCCACATAACTGCTGATTCGCTAGTCCCTCATTATGTTTGAAGTACTCCTGTGGGAGAACACGCTGAGGAAGGTTATCCTTGGAAACTTGGGACTGCCCTTGCATGAACTGTTGGGCAATTGACGGATGAATCATTTGTTGCTGCTGTTGCAACATGGGAAGTTGACTGGTTGATTGTGGAAGGTATTGCATAGGCTGTTGAAATTGCATCATCTGGGGATTTAGAACATCACCGCCACCTCTTAAATTTTGAAAATTGGATGACAACAAGGCTTGATATTGCTGGTTCTGATTGCCAAGTGGAAGCATATTGTCAACTCTTGTCTGCATCCAAGGAAACATTCCAAGGGATTGGAAATTCATGGAATTAAGACCTTGTTCTCCACCTTGTCCTCTCAACCACATTAAGCTGTTCGCAGCATCATCTATATTATCTGCAAGATGAAATTAAACGGATAATTTTGGTAAATATATATACCAAAGGCTTTTCATTTGTCAGTAGATCCTATGATAGTTATGAAGACAACAACCCACGTTAAACAGGAATTGATATCATAACCATAGCAAAAATAATTCCCCCTTAAAGAGGAACAGATAAGAGCCCAAAGATAATTCAAAGGGAAGCAAAAGGCAAATTGTTTGGAATTCTGAATATCTGTAGGTTATATGCCATTAAAGGTGTGAGAAAGATCAGTAGCATAAACTTTTCAGAATGGTTAATTCAATCCCACATGCCTCATTTTAAAATGTTCAATTGCCCATATCAAGTACAAAGTATCAAGATATCTGTATCCAAAACCTTACATTGCCAGATAAGAAAACATTGAACAGTTACATTGCCAGATAAGAAAACATTGAACAGTAAAACTTTGATGCTATTGCATCAATGAGGCTACATTTGACATTATATGAGCTTGAGAATTAGCTTCAAGTATACAATAAAGAACACACACAATACTTGACCTATTAATTAACCAATGATCACTTTAAAAAAATTATTTGCATTTAGTTTCTTTCCCCAGCAGATCTCTGAAGTTTATAAAAAGGTATGGTCAAGTTGGGTGGGTATACCATACACCTAGTCCTTCCATCCTTTGTTATTTTTGACACTAAGGTAACAAAAAATTAAGGCTAGAAATCTAGAATTTAGGTCAGACATAAGCATAAAGTTGTAAGAGAAGAATGAAGAAAGCATCATCTGCAATTTGTGCCCAAAAAGGTATTGTGGGGAATGATATAGGTGTTTTTAAAAAGCAATTTGGTGTATCCATATTCCATATCAAGGAAGTGTGAGAGGGGGTAATAAATTAAGGAATGCTAATTTTGTAAGATTTAATAGGTCCCAAGTCCTACATGAACGTCCAAGGTAATGCATCTCCACCGGTAAAACATGTGTTTTTCTTTTACAATTGTCAATACCATTCATACTTCAAAGATATGTAGGCATGAATGATAATGAAAACTAAAGAAGATATATGCATACTTGTAAATGGAGATACATTAACATGAAGATTCAAGTGGAATTTTCTTCTGAATTATACACAAAATTCATTACTATGTCCTTAAACTATTACCTTACACCAAACAAAACCAATAGAATTCGTAAATTGTGTCTGTCCATTTTCCTTTCTCCCTTCAATTGTAACCACCAGCCTGCCAGACATTGCTAACTTCTACTAGTATAGTAGTATGCTTTACATTTGTATAGGTTTCTTGTTGCCACACAAATAATGAAAAAGAGAAAATAACACTAGAAAGAAAGAGTTAAAGGGAAATCAATACTGCTACCTGACAATGATGAAGTGCCAGCATGCCAAGGTCTTTTGAGCCTTAATGGAAAAAGAGATGGATACATGGGGAAGGTTGTCAACGGCTCAATCTCCCATAATGACACTCGTGGTTGTCTCTCACCAGCAGTTGATTCATCCCAACCAACCTGCACAAATACATCGAATTGAAACACAATAAGATAATCTAATACAAGTTGTATGTGAAAGGTAATACCATGTTTTATTGAGCTTTTGACTTAGAACTAAGTCAATTTTGAGAGTAAGTATGGTAAAGTGGCAGTAGATTTTGAGAACTGTAACAGAAAGGGTGACACCGTGATAGCACAAAGAAAAAATCATCAAATAAAATTATGACAGCTAGAGCTATGATAAAGGTTGACAAACACAACTGTAATTCAGGATTTGCATGAACTCTAGATAAGTAGGTTTAGTCGTCTGCCAGACCCATATGCACCCAATTCATTTAAAAAAAATTTACAGTGATGCTGAAATATAAACAAACAAGGTATAACCCATTTTAACTATCCAACAAAATGTTACTATGTCGAGACTTTTCTGCATTAGAATGCAACAATCAGTAGAAAACTACTCAGGATATCAATTCCACAAGACAAGCAATTTTAAAAATTTGCAGAATTATATTTCTTCTCATTTCTCAGTCAAAAGTATCTGAAGTGGGCATGAATGGATGGGAAGTAAAAATCTAACAGGAGGTTAAGATGCAGAAAATTAACTAATGAATAAAACTGCATATCAATGATACCTTCACAGATCTCCAGTGAGAATTTGGCCATCGAACAGAATCTAAGTCACTAATACCAGTGATGGTACCCATGTATCTGCAAATTATGAGGATGAAGCAATTAGTATAATGAGCAACACAAACATATAATGAAATGATAGGAGTCAATTTGTCAGCGAAGTAGCCATATGGGATTAGATGACAGAATTTAGATTCACGAATACTTTAGAATAGAAGTGGAAAATACTTCCCCATAAAGACATCATGACATGTTTGCAATTCATAATTACTGTATTGTACGAGGAACAAAGAACTTTAGAATGGAGACTGAAAGTGATCACAACAGGAAAAAAAAAAAAAGATAAGCCAAAAAAAAAAAAAGGATAAGCCGTAGCATGTGCAAGGCATACAAAGGACGAAGTGCAGGGAATGAGACTATTCATTTCAAAAAAACATGTTGAATTGTTGTCAGCATGACCCAGGTGACAGTAATTCAGAGGTATTCTAAGATACCATTCAAGGAACTTAATACTTCCTCCAATCTATTTTACATGATCCAATTTGACTTTGCCACTATTCACACACTCTCTTTTGACCGTTGTTGAGATTTAAACACAAGAAAAGATATATGAAACGGGTCAATTATATAAGAACAGGGGAAGGTGTGTCACGGATGATATAAGCTAGGTATTCATTCTAGCCATAGATCAATCCACCTATATTCATGGGAAAGAACAAAAGCTATCAGTGATTTTTATGGGTATTGTACCTCCGAACACTTGATTCTTCAGTCTCAAACAGCATACGAAATCGCATCCCCACAGAAACACGTGTGTGATACACAGCTTTAACATATTTCGACAAAGGTATGATGAACTCAGATGGGCTTGCCCTGAACACAACAATAAACACGATGAGTTAGAAGGGAAAAGAAAACCAAATAGTCAAAGAAATCAACCATGGAAAACCAAGAACACGGAAAACAAGACACTTTCAATAAGGTACTGACCTTGGGTTAAAGAAGACGGTAAAACAACTATTAGTATTAGCAGCATGAGCTGCAGCTGCTAGAAGTCCTATATGCATACTGTCACTTGATAAAACAGATGAAGGCATCACAGTTTGAGGTCGAGTGGCCCGGCGAATTCCCAGAAGCAGTTGGTTCTTCTCATTCCTAAGTTCAGATGTACATTCATGAATTCCAGATAAAACTAAGGCATTCAACCATGAATTCTCCAAGAAAAAAAATAGATTACCATATAAACAGAACAGAATCTCCAGCAACAAGCCTTTTAGCACTGACAAAGACACTCCACCCTGTAGTAAGAAGGTGCCTTTTGGGCTGTCCTGCATAAGATAAAGATTGAATTGTTAAATAAAGATATAGCTAGTAGGTAATACAAATCAGATATACAGGGTATCAGAATACTGGAAATTCACACACAAACACACACTTTTTATTTTTGGTATGTCATGAGATGAATTAAGCATCAGAAATATAACTATAATAAGCCCAAATGGAAACAGATACCATAGATACAATTCAAGCACCTACTAAATGTGCATTCCTGTCCTCCAATCTTTTATTTTATTTTTTTTATTTTTTTTTGACGGGACCTGTCCTCAAATCTTGGAAAACATAAGTTAACAAATTACAGAATGTTCTATCAGAAACATTCTCTCAACTATTTTCTCAGCCTAGGTAAAATTATTGAAAGTTCTTTCAGAAACAGTCTCTCAACTATTTTCTCAAACTAGGTAGAAGCAAATATTATCACGATCTTCCAAGACCTGGCAAAGCTTTGTGTTGCTTTGCAATGGTAGTTGAACAAATTGCCAAGACTAGCGAACTAAAGGAAGCTAACATAATCATGTTTATGGGATGACATAGTCATAAAAAATCCTACATAGAGAGTTCATTATATACTGGACAAGGCATAAGATCCCATGAGATAAGCATGGTAACAATGAAACAAAAAGCAGAATCTGAGGGGGGAAAAAGGTAACTGTTTACATGTACAATTAGAATCTGAAGCTGTATAGGAGAACAAGACAATATTTCACTTTTCTAAGTAAATAGTTGTATAGGAGAACAAGACTTAGCAATGTACCCTAAGTATTAGGAGAGAGTTGCATAATCACCTCCCTAAAAACTAAGTAATGACACAAGAAAGAACCTGATTTTTGACTGAGAAATAACACGATCATATAATTTTGAGACCGGACCTAAATACACAATGTATTTACCACGACTTCTGCACTATTCGCAAACCACACTTTGAACATATTCTTTTTACTTGTATATAAAAACAAAAGCTTTAAAGTAAAAGGTCATTGCATTTATCTCTATATATATTTCCAAATTATCAACTTTATACAAATTTTACTAATATACTTAAAAGATACTAATGGTCAAAATTGTCCTTTAACAAAAGTGAAAATTAAGATGGTACGACTAAAAAAATGGAGGATATTCAGCACCCAATTACCTAACACATACTTGTTAACATGATTTCACCCTATATCAATTCAACTAATAAATTATGGCTCTAGACCAATCGTAATACTGATTCTGCATATATTACCCCTTGCATTAAAAAATGGACCCCAACTTTGAACTCATTTTCACAGACGCAACAAGTTGGAGGAATAAAATAAAATAAAATAAAAAACACAAGTTGAAACTTGTGGAAGAAATTCATACTTTACTAAGATCCGAAAACTTTAGCCAAAAAGACTCCATTGAAAACTAAGAGTCCTTAGAAGGCATGTATCACGATCAAATTTAGTTCAGCAGAAGTCAGTGACACATGGCTAGATAAGCATCAATATCATTTGTGGATATGTACGAGACACTCCATACTGGTAATAGCTAACACATGAAGCACTCACATGTATAATTATAAATTTTCTATTCGTATATCAGAGAACCTTCTTATGCCAGAAGCAACCAAAAATTACAGGAAAATGTCATCTACTTTACAGATATCACAGTTACAAGAAGGGGTGGGGCTGCCTTAGGGCCTAAGGAGGCCCTGTCACTATTTGTATAAGATTATTTTCAATACTACCATAACAATTTGGGTTTTACTTCAGTGTTAAGTGTATTTTTGGAACCTCTTATGAATGTAAGGGGTCTAGAGTCTAGTGATCAAATCTTATTAGTTATTAGTTATTACCAACACCAACATTTATTTTTAGCTACCTTTATTATTTTTCACTAGGCAGCATTTGCTTTTTTTTTTCCCTAGAACAACATGTTTCTTCTGTAGGCCTTGTTTGGCAAATGGCTGTTAGCGGTTGGCGGGTTCACTTGGCTTGTTTGACCAGGAATGCTTGGCCGTTTATAATGGCTTTTGAAATTAGTTATTTAAGCAGGTTGTTTATAAAAGTGTTTGGTAAATTTAGTTGTTAGTTGTTGGCTATTTATTAGATGATTTGTGGGCCAACAAAGCCAACAGAAAAAGCTACTCAAAGCATCTTTTTCGCTGAATGAAAAGCCAATTACTAAACACTTTTTTTGGCTCTTTGACCACATAAAAAAATCAAAAGCTAACCAAAAAGTCATTTACCAAACATGGCCATATTCTTTTCGTAAAGTTGGCCCCAGAATAATTTTCTGGCTTCATCCCTGGTACAAGTTTGACAGTTTTTATCCCACAAGTATAGCGCTACTCTTGGAAAGAATATACATAGTATTCTTTTTCCAACTTCTGCAGGTCAATATATAATTGTAGCCCTAGGAATGGAAGAAATCCCCAGGTCAACTTCCACAAACGAAGATCTTATGCTAGAGCTCCATCATAGATCATGATTACTCGGTTCTACTATCAGTCTACAACCTTGTACCCATACACCACTCTTCCTTCCCACCATTCATATGCTGAGCACAATGTCTGGCACAACATAGCAATTCATGATTACTCGTTCTACCATTCATACACCACTCTTCCTTCCCGCCATTCATAACTGAGCACAATGTCTGGCCCAACATAGCAATGACTAATGTTTCAGACAGCATGACAAAACTGCGTCAAAATTTTTTGATTTTACAGATACATGTATACTAAAGCATGATGAAAGGTTTCTATACTTCCAATATTTATTTGATGAAGTACAGGGACAAGAAAGACTCTATGAGCACTTTCCTCCATCACTCTCCTTTGATTGATCAACAGCAACAATTTTATCAAGATATCAGTTACAGATAGTTAATGAGTTCAGTTATAGGAAGTACTGATTGAAATCCTCAAATTTCCTTTTCTTAGGAAAGAAAGAGTTGAAATGGGCTAACAGTTCTCTGCTGATTTTAGAACAGGGTGGTTCAAAAGTATAATACAAGAAGCCCACTGTACATCACTACATATTGAATGATAATAATTATTATTAAAATATCAAACTTACAAGTTATAGACTAACTACAAGCAGGAAGCATATACCTCGAAAAATATGCCTAAACTTCCACTCAACATCATGCAGATCCCTAGCAATCAGCTCTTGAGCAGGTGGCTGCTGAGAATAGTCCTGCAGGAATTTTTAAAAGGAAAATTTATAAGATAAAAGAAGGGGACAAAATTTTTAATTAGCACATAATAGGAACCAAAGACGTTACCAGTGGGGGAAAAACTTTCTCAGCCGCACGACGAGGAACAGAAAATCCTCCATGTGTACTTGTGTCACTAGCTGTCAATGTTTTGCAAAAGTAATTGGTGGGCTGCCGGCTAGGGATCCCAAAATCTGCAGGAAGATAAATGTCCTTTTGCTCTTGCTGCACACATGAACCATAAAGTGATTAATGGTTTTACTAAACAGATGATCAAGGATCGTGCAACATTGCACTCAATCAAATTTAACAATCATAATACAAGAATTACCGGACTCAATGGCTGTAAAGTCATTTGAGCATAGACTTCATCTGTCTCGACATCAGCCTGAAATCCCAAACGTTTAAAACTTCAGTCTAGCTCTTGTTTTCCAACTCAGAGCTTCTTGCTCCGTCGCAAAGGCAATACATTCTTCTTTGACATTAGTAAATCACACTACCAGAGTAAAACATAAAATTCAAGTACAGGAGTAAAGGACAAACATGCATTGTGACATTGTGAAGTTGGCAGACCAACTGTGCAGGCAAACTGGGGTAATTCGGTATCTGCCCATCAATATCTCTGTTGGTAGTAGCAGCAACCTAAATTTCAATAACCGAAGTTACAAGCAGCAAACAAATTATCTCAAACACAAAACCCACATAATTTGTTGCAGCCAAACCTGCTCACTATGACCCTGTGGGAAGTACACGACACGGCTTCCGGCAGTCGGTAAGCACACAAGAGGGCCCGCACAAGCATGCCATAGTTCTGAATTCAAACACTTCTTCTCACCCCCTATCACAGTCCCATTCAAACACATGATCAATACAAATACAGTAACAATAATAACACTTTCTATATACCCTAAAAAGATCTCTATGCAAGCATAAATACATCTAACAATCACTAAAATCTAATAAAATTACATAAGAACATGCATAAATTTCAGATTAAACTACAAACACAAATATTAAATTGAGAATAGATTATGATAATACCTTCATGACCTTGCTGACCCAAACCTGAAGTTGAAAGCTTCATATCCCACTTAATACTAATCTGGGTAAAAAGCTAACTCAAACAATCTGTACTAATATGCAATAACTTAATAATCTCCCACTTCAACATATCCAATAATTCAAAACCCTTGCTTCCCATAAAAACCCTTTTTCTTCTAATTACAACCACATTCCATTCCTTCATTAGTACACTTCAAATTTCACTACCCTAAAACTACATAAATCCCCCAAATTTGGGTCGAAAACCCCACATTTCACCAAACTAAACCAAACCCACATCAAATTTTACAAAACCCACTTCAAAATCACTAATTAAACCTTTTTTTACCAAAATCCCACTTCATCAAACTAGTAAGAATCACCAAAACTAAACACTTTTTCTTCTCTTTTTCTTATTAAATAAACAGGGTATTTTATTCTATTTATTTTTTCCTTGTTAAATAGCTTAATACAATGAAAGCTCGAGTTTCAAGGCATGATGAAACTAAAACCCCATCAAACAGAAACCAAAAAACTCCCTCTTTTTTTTATTTTTCTGGGTTTTTCCTAGATTTTTTGGGTTTTTTTTTTTTGTAATTAATGAACCAAGAACAAGATTATGGAGCAACCACCCGACCAGAAGTCGACCTGAGCAGGCAGTAGTATGAGCAGAGGAGAGAGAAAATTGGGTATGAAGAAGGAGGAAAAGAAAGAGAGAAGAGGAGGATATTTTTGGTAGTATTTAATTTTAATTTTATGTAATAATTATAAATTTATATAAAAAAAAATACAAGTAAATAGATTTCACAATTTCATTTGAAAAAATGGAGAGGAGAGAGAAAGAAAGAAGAGAGGGTGCATGTTTATTGAAAAAGGGGAAATCAGAACCGTAGGAAAAGCCGTACGTAGTAAATCGTGACCGTGCGTTGGGTTGCTGATGCTTCCGCACTGATATGACAGCAGGCATGTGCCCCCATCCTTCAGTGGTCGTTGTCAGAATGAGGGTACGGATTTTTGCCCATCAAAATATTATCAAATTATTGAACCCTCTTCTTCTTAAAGATAGATCGTGTTTAGATTCATATAATAAAGAGAAATACACTCATAAACAAGGATTGTTTGATTAATTAAATAAACTCTATGGAGTATTTATATGAGTATAAATGTATTCACCTCTTCAATCTGGTGTTCAAGATTTTGTATCTTAAGAATTAAGAGTTTTCAGTGTCTGTTATGGTATTGTCATGTTCTCGCCGGATTATTTGGATGTGAGACATTTGTCATCAGTTATGCTCAAGGTTTCTTAAGTTTTACGAGTGTCAGTTATGGTATTGTCAGGTTCTCGTTGGATTATTTTGGATGTGGGACATCTGTCATCATCAGTTGTGCTCAATTTCTTAAGTTTTACGAGTGTCAATTGTGGTATTGTCATGTTCTCGCCAAATTATTTTGGATGTGGGACATCTATCAGTTATGGTCAGAGTTTCTTAAGAGTTATGAGTGTCAGTTATGATATTATCATGTTCACGCCGGATTATTTTAGATGTGGGACATCTGTTAGTTGTGGTCAATGTTTCTTTAGAGCTACGAGTGTCAGTTTACATGGGAGGTGGGACATGCTATGTAATTAAGTCAGTTGTGGTCAATGTTTGTATCTTAAGAGTTACGAGTGTCAGTTATGGTTATTTGTCCGGATTTGATCGAATTACTTTGGATGTGGGACATGTTTTGTATTTTTGTATCAGTTGTGGTCAGGGTTTGTATCTTAAGAGTTATGAGTGTCAGTTATAGTTATTTGTCCGAATTAGATCGGATTACTTTAGATGTAGGACGTGCTATATTATTATGTCCATACATATTAAATTTTGAATTGGATTAAGTCAGGGTTATTATTATAGGCTAGTTCCGACACCGGTAATTAAGACATGGATTGGATTCGAATTCAGCTTGACTCGTATGGGGCTCCATAGGCTGATGAGTGATGACAATTCTCTTTAAAGTCCTTCCTACTTGTATTGTGTATAGTATTATTAAAAAAATTGAAATTAGAATGACAAAAAATAAAGTAATAATTGGTTGAATTGAATGAGTGTATGAAAGGGAAAGAAAGAAAAGATGGTCTTCATTAGTCTAAACCTTTCCCCTCTCCCCTCCATATTGCATTCTTTTCTTTACTTTTTTTATATTTTCCTTTTATCAATCCCTTTTACTGTTGTCATTTTCAATTTGAAAGCTATCCCAAACCTTCCTTTGTTTTTAAGCATTTCTCCCCTTTATTTCCTAGTAACTAGTACTACCTTTTTTGTCTTTCCATCGTAAATTATTTCTAAATTTATATTCTTCCTTCACCAGATTCTATAAATCTAAAGAAAGATTATGTTAATGATGATGGGAAAGATTCAATTTAGTGGTCTAATGTATGGTTAGTTGTATGCTTTGTGCTATTAAAAATGTGCGATGATTATGTACACAACGTGAATTTAATCAGACACTGAAACTGACGTGTCGGAAAATTTGAAATAGGCAGCTACTTTTACACATGGCAAATCAATTTATAGTTATACTTTAAGTCAATGTCCAGTCATACTTTAGAACTCATATTCATGTTTGACACATACATGCACTGAATAGTGACAGACACGTACATGTAAAAAAATCATATACTCACTCCTTCCGTTTTTTAAGTGCTCTATTTCTCCTGGTTAGGAAAATATTCTAATACAAATTGTTGATCAATGATATATATTTAATTATTTATAAGTATTACGTATAAACTATAACAATTGAAAGTTAATAATGTATTTATTAAGATGATTTCAACATATACCAACAACACAAAATTATATCTTATGTATAATTATTCACAAACATAAGTTAAAATAGGTTAAGTGCATAGTGCATGCAAAACACTTTAAAAAAAACAAAGGGAGTAATGATTTTGCATCTGTGGACCCAAGGATGTATTTAGGAATGCCATAATCCATATTCCCTATAAACAGACCAAACCCCCAAAAAAAATAAAAATAAAAAAATTACCATTCTGGTTAGGAATGTCATAATCCATACTTACTCTGTTCCCCTAATATTGCAACAATTACCATATATGCACATGCTTTATCTCTATCTCTCTCCCCATCGCATAGTATCTATCTTTATTTCGCTTTATCTCTCTCCTCATTTTAAATTCCTTGTCTTCTATTTCGATCCTCCCTCGTTGCAATATTAAAGGAATTGAGATCATGTGAGAACAAAGTGAATATATAATGAAAACTAGGATCTGATCTGGATCGTCCATCATGTTTCATCGAATTGTCTGTAATTCACCCATCTCATTAATGCATTTATGCGTTTTCGTAATTACGCAGCTTTTCAAACTTTTTTCCAGTTTATTCACTTTCAAAGCAATTTCATTTACTTTTTAACTGATTTTATTTACTTTTACTAACTTTTCATTTACTTTTAACAATAAATTAATGAAAACTTTTCCAAAACAATTCTTTATTCTTTGAGATTGAAAATTTTATTATTAAAGCTGCTTCTTGATAATAATTAATATGTTTTTCTTCATTAAATGTGAAAATAAGCTGTGCACAGGATTTGGATGATTTGGTATTTACTTTTAAAGTAAAATAGTTTACTTAAATAATATTTTGCTTTACTTTTAACCTATGAATTTGGCTTGCAGTTCTCATTTTATAATTGGTTCTCATTGTAACTTGATCCTATATATAACTGTTTTGTACTCTTAGAAATGTGTGGTGAGTGTTTGTAGCATGGATTTAATCAGGCATTTCAACAAATGTGTTGTAGACTTTGAGATATGCAACAAATTTTTACATTCAGCAAACAATCTATTGGTATTTCTATAAACAGTTATATCTGTAGTAAAATTTTTGGTCATAATTTGGAACCTATATTCTTGTTTGACATATACATGCATAGAAGAACATGGACAAATGGCTGACACATGAAAAAATATGCTCCTACTCTGTTTTTGCATTTATTGACCCAAACAGAGGGTGTATTTAGGGATGACAAAATCCATATTTCTTATGAATGCACCATAAAAAAGAATTTCTTTCTTTTTAGGTCTTTTTTTCTAGTTTATAATTATCTATATCTATATCTATATCCATATCTATACGATATTAAAAAAAATTCTCAAAAAGTGTAGGTGTCATACGTGGCGCTCACAATCATTCATTATTTTTCATTTCACATCATCAATCTACATTCAAAGATTATTAGTTACATGTTTTATTTTGAATTAACAGATGTGTCAGAGACTTGAAGATAGGTAGCAATTTCTTACACTTGGCAAACCAATTTTTTGGTACTTCTGTAAACAATTTTATGTTCGATCATAGTTTAGAACTCATATTCATGTCTAACACATAGATGCCTAAAAACGTGGCAGACACATGAAAAATTTATATGATGTTTTTGTATTTATGGCCCAAACAGGGGTTATTGTAACAGAGAGACTTTCTACATGTTCACTTTCACTAATATTAAAGGGAAAAAAAAAAACATTTCTAATTCTAATTCTAGTACGTAATCATCCTTGAAATAGGATCTTAAGACTAGTTTTTTTTAATCAAGAAATTGGTCTATCCACTCAGCCTAACCTCAGAGCTTACCCCTCATGCGTATGCGATCCCTAGCTAGTATGGTGGGATCAAGAGATGATGAGCTCCTAACCACATGACTTCTTTTCACAGTTCCATCTAAGTCAACATTAACTCATCGAGTGGAAGTTAGGTACTATATTCTAGCCTCTTAACAACCATCATCACCACCCCCTATATTGTAGGGAATGGATAAACATTGATCAAGCATGTAAGATACTCCTGTGTGCCAATATAGTGAACGTGAGAGTAAAGTGTTGATAAATCTTTATAGTATTATAAGACAAATTTAAAGGGCAACATAAAAAGAAAAATTGGGCAAACTTAAAGGATAGATAAATATTGCAGTTTTCAATTCACTATGCTAGATTTCAATTAAACTGTTAGGTGCCTAAAAGATTGAACACGGATTAACCTAAAAGGAATTATTAATCATATATCCGATATCTGTGAATTGCAATATTTGATGTGTCGTAGAGGGTAAGGGGTGGTTGTTAGACAAACTTAAAAGGGCGACATAAAAAGAAAATAGAACAAATTTAAAAGAACAGATAAATACTGTACTTTTCACAATACTAGTTAGATTTCAATTAAATTGTTAGGTGTCTAAAATCTGAACACAGATTTATCTAAAATGAATTTTTAATCATATATCCAATATCCGAGAATTGCAATATTTGATGTGTCGTAAAGGGTATAGGGTGGCTGTTGGAAAACAACAGACGGATCATGATCAGTAAAATTCCATTTCTCCAGGTTAAGTATAGGACCCACGAAAGCTACTAAGAAAAAAAAAGCTAAACAAAGCCACAAGAAACAAAAAAGAATAAGAGAATGAAAGCGCCAATCACCATTGTTTCGGCAAAAAATTGAGCTAACTGGGCCTTGGAGGGGTGTCTGAGAACCTCGAATTTGGGCCTTGAATGGACCTGCAAAATGAACCCCGAGCCCCGGGGGTTGAACCCGGGGCGGAGCCTCCGCGCCCAAGTTAGTTGCCAAACAATGCATATTTTGAGAGGAGTTTAGGGGAGAGAGTGGAGGAGTATGGTCATCTTAGATGATAAGAGTGACCTCCTTTTACCTTATGCCCTTTGAGGGGTATTTATATGAGTACATAAGTGGGTTT